AATAAATATGTTAAAAACTCGATCTTTTCTTGTAGGCTGATGGAAATGGTTTTTCTTGTAGTGAGCTAGTTACAAATCATATTTTTGTACCATTTTTCAAAATCAGTTAGTGTTACTTACCTGTTGTTCATACCTGTTCTCTTTATTCCTGTGGGGTTATGTCAATTTTTTCTCCTTTACTGTCTTGCAGTAACATTTCCAGGGAAATTGAAAATAAAGATTCCACCTAGTCTAACACATTGGACCAGTTTTCTAAACATTTAGCAGTGGGTTAGATTATATTTTCATGTTTGAATTATAAATTTGTTGTATTATATTCAGAGAACCAGGTTTAAGATATAGAATTCTTTAAAATTTTTTGCCTCTTCATTTGTGGCCCAGGATGAATTTTATTTTTGTAAATGTCCCATGTACCACTGAAAGAAGGTAGAATTTCTGTTTGTTGCACTCCAGAGTCTACATGTATTTGAAACCAACTTTCTTTTAGTGTTAGTCACATCTTTTATATCCTTATTAATCATTTTTCATTTCACATTCCAAATTCTGAAAACAGTGGATTAAATTTCTCTATTATTGAGAAATTATTTTTTCTTGTATTTCTGCTAGTTTTAAAAAATCTTGACTACATTGTTTTATTCTTACAACTTTATCACTTGTTTCCTCTAAATAAATAATTTCTTTTTTGATTATTATCTGTCTTTTCATTTCTTCAAACACCTTAACCCTAGGCTGTTTTGTGTATTACTCCTGCATTTGATTCCCTAAGCAATACTGTTCTATGTGTTCATGTTTTTAATTTTAAAATTTTTTTATGTAATGCAGTTTATTGAGACGCAATTTATGTATCAAACAACTTACCCATTTAAAGTGTGTAATGCATTGTTTCTTAGTGGCCACAGAGTTGTGTAACCATCACCACAATCAATTTTAGAATATTGTCCTCATTTAAAAAGAAATTCCACAACCGTTAGCAGTCATGCCCTTCCCATCCGCTCAGCATAATCTGTGTTTTCTTGCATTGCATTGAGCTACTTTCAGATGATTAGTCTGAATTCTCTTCCAGGCAATTCATAGATCTCCTTTGGTTTAGAGTCTCAGCGTTCATCATCCCTGTGTGTGTTAGTCCTTATTGATTGAAGTATCCACACATAAAAGCCTGATGGTTTATTTTGTCTGTAAAAGTCTGCTCTATGCACGGATGGACCAGACCAGAAGTGTAGGGGCATCAGTTGCCCTAGTGCCTCCGTCAATAAAGGACAGAGGGAAGTTCAGACATAAACGGCAGCTTCCTCACTCCGCAAGCGGTGTTACTCTGAAGCTTGTTTCGGACTTCCGTAGACCTCAGTATGATTGTGATCACATTCCCTGCAGATATTATCGATTAAAGACTGCAACCCTGTGTGAGTTTCTTTCTTTTCCCTGACTTGCTGTTCCACTCCATACCATTTAATTCTGTCATTACTTCTAAAATAAACCACTTGAAACTCAAATCCTTCTGGGTTTCTTTTTGAGGGAAGCCCATCCAATACACATTCCTGGATTAAAGTTCTGTCCTTTGCAAAATAAATCCCCCCATGTCTACTCAATGTAAACATCATAACAGAAATGATCCTTGCTGCAAATGAAGATAGCAAAAGAAAGAGAATCTTGTGAACCGAGAGCACTATTCTCTTTCTAACTCACCGATTGTCTCCCTTCACTTTTGCCACAGAAATGCATCAGCTGATGTTTGGCAGCTGTGAATAGTAGCAAATTACCTTTCAGTCTCTTCAATGTGAAGATGTCCTCCTTCTGTCATCACCTTGGAATGATTGTTTATCTGGGTATAGAAATCGGGCTTAGTATGTAATTGTCTCCATCATTTGAAGGATATTAATCCATTCTCTGTTGACCTTTAGGGTTTTTGTAAGAATTCTGCTGAGATTCTGATTATTATTACTTTGTTTCTGTAGCATGCATCTAAGGCTTTTTCCTTCTCTTTGATTTGTCCAGGTTCTAAACAATGTGAGCTAATTTTTAAAAAAGTATACTTCTTAGAGATTGGTATGGTCCTTCAAGCAGAGGCCTTGAATGTTTCTTCAGTTATCAACTTAGTTTCCGATTTGACATTTTCTTCCTGTTCTCTGCTATTTCTTCTGAAATTCCTGGTAAGTCCTTTTTGGAGCCTTTCAATCTATTTTGCCTGTCTCTTAAGTTGTCTTTTATGCTTTCTGTCTCTTTTTGTATTAAGCAATATTTAAAGTTGTAAAGTTCTAACATCTCCATTAATTCTGCATTCAGTCTTATCTATACTAATATTTATTTTATCCATTGAACAATTAAATTTGTTTGATAATGTATACTTCATTTCTAGGGTTTCTCTTTTATTTCCTTTTTTATATTTCCTATGCTGATTTGTAAGTACTTATTTTTCCTTCATTTTTTCCTTCCTCTGGCTTTGTGGATGCATTTCTTCCATAATTACAACTATTTAAAATCATGCTTATTTTAAAGTTTATATATTGTACTATGATTTATTTTCTCTTCATAGACAATATTTATCTTCTCTTGGATCTGATTTATTCTATTTATTGCTTTGTTTGGCTGTATTTCATGGGTAAGATTCTTATATTTAACATACTGCTGTTTGAGAACTCATCATGTGTTCGTATATTTTGTTTCATATTTATTGAATAAGCTCTGTTTGTCAATTGGTTTTGCAGTTTAATGCAGTTTAAATTCCTGATGTTTCCAGAGCTTAACGTTACTGAGCTTGAGTTTTGGCAGAGGTATTTGGTCCTGACTTTATCAAGTGAATGCATTTCTCTACTTTATTGCAGACATGAGGACTGTTTATGAACACAAATCAAGTGGGGATTCAGGATTTAATTTAGTCTCTAGTCATGGGAAAGCTATCTCTGACAGTCACGTACATGTACATTCTCTGTTTCCCCAGGGTTGTTGCTATCACATACTCTGTAGAATACCGACTCAACCCTCATTTGCCATTGTGGTGCTTTGTATTTTCTGAATTGCAGGTATCTGTGAATATATTTTTGAATTCAGGTATGCATTTTTCAAATACATGGTACATAATTTCTATGTGTTTAGAGTAGTGGAAGAAGATTTTTGTCTTTATTTTCAGATGCTTAATGGATAATTTACTGATAGAATTTAACTTGATCCTTATAGAAAACATTGAAACACCACATAGTGGATTGCCATGAATCAGTTCTAAAAGTTTTAACTCCTCAATCCACACAACTGACCTTAATCACAAAGTTTGGAAATGCTGGTCTATACAATGATGGTTTCACAGGGTATCACTCATCTCATTCGAGTTTTTTTCCCACCAGCATTGTCATATTGCTGATGAGAAGGGCATGAAAGTCTTCCATTGTCAACATATTTATTTGACACCCCAAGTAGAGAAAAATGAGGTGTTTCTGTGGCTCAGGTCATGGTGCTAAACGTGTCTTAAATGACTGGGTTGAACGAAGTCACAGGAATCTAACTTGGGACTTCTCTCTAAGATCCTTGACCCCAGAAAGCTGTTCCCAAGTGCATAGGTGTGAACTTGTCTACAGATCCATGTTGTATATTTCACTAAACTTAAGAAATAAAGGAGAAAAGGGAAGAAGGTCTGCAGTGGAAGAGGTACAGAGGTCTGACACAGTTTGATTCTCTATCACTTTTACTAAAGGTATAATAATAAAAAATATTTAACATTTATTTCTTTATAACAGGACAAGCATTGTCCTAAATGTCTAAATGCACTGTTTCATTAAATGTCATCCCAACCCACTGAAGTAAATACTGTTATTATGCACATTTTACAAACAGTGTTCCTGAGTTTAATTTATACAGTTTCAACCATTGTTGTGCTACAGTAGGAACTTTGATCTTAATTGTTGCATTAATACAGTTAAAGATATTTATTCAGAGTACAGTTCATGAAACAATTTTCTTATGGTTGTAAGGTAGCTAGTGATCAGTTTTATAGATGTTTGTCTCTCTAATCAGAAGTTCTCAGAAAAAAATCAGGTTTGTTCTTTTGATCTGGCTTTGGAGAGAGTGACAGATCTCCCATTTGTGAGCTCTCTTTGAGGAATGCAAAAAAATGCCTTTGCTACTATCCAGCACTAGGGCTAGGTTCATGCCGGTTCCTATGCCCTGCATCTGCTTTTCTGACCATCAGCCCAATGGCGGCAGAGGAATGGGGTCACTATCTTCCACTCCATTTTCACAATGTAGTAGAAATTCTTATGGGTTTCTCATAAGAATTTAGCATCATGACCTTTTTTGTCTTGATTGGTTTGATTCAAACTGATTCTATTTTCAAATTTCCTGATTATTCACAGTCTGCAGGCTATCAGGTGGGCTATACCCTAGACATAAGCTTTGAGCTTAATGAGTGAAGAAGTATATGGTTTATAACAGAATAGGGGAGAGAGAGTACGGAGGGGAGGATGTCCTTTTTCTGGGCACGTGGAAGGAGCAGCCCTTGAGTCCTGTAATCAACTATTAGAGATCCAGTTGTTGATTCTTGTTCTCAGCCTCAATTCCACTGCTTCTCACTCTTTTATGAACTCATGTAGTCATGCAGACATCTTCATCTTAATTTATTTAAATTATTGAATAATCAATTCATCTCATTGACTAGGTGTTGAATGACTTCTCTGAAAAAGCAATCCTGGTAGAGGTCCTTAGAATTATATAGTAGCCATTAGATTCTGTTCCAGAGATCATTTTTTTAACTTATAGGAAACTTCATCTTGGCTGTGTTTGAATGTGTCTGGTTGAATCCCTTTGAGTAACCAACAATATTATTTTGAGTAACCAACAATATTATTTTAACAAATTTGAGTTATTATTTTAATAAATTTGTATCCTACCTGTTCTTCCCTCACTGTTGATCATGAGTTCAGTGTCTTGTTAGAAATCAACTACAGTTAGTAATTTGGGGGAGATTTGAGGTCATTTTCCTCCATTTCCAGACATAAGGCAGACAAGTTTCCAGTTTTATAAATCCATTGGACATTTTTATTAAAAAGTTGTAGAAGTGTATTTGACAGATATTGCCTGATACATTTGTGAAGCATAGCTAAACTGCTAGCAAGAACTCAGATAAGGAGAAGATGTGTCTATAGTTTTGGATGAATTCTTGTTCTCTGAACTCTGTCTTTAATTTCAGAATTTCAGGGACTAAATAGATTTAGATTGGATAGTATCTCTCATTATTCAAGCAATCCACTAGAGCTCTTACTGTATTTAAGCTCAAGATATAGTGGATGTCAATAATGAGGGACCAAACTATGGATCTTTGCATTCCTCCAAAAGTTTATGGAATAAAATTATCTTGGATGACATTCTGGAGCTCTACATCATGTCAACGTCTCAAGACAATTCTCAGAAGCACTGATATCTGAGAACTACAGCTCTAATCTTTATATAAGAATCACAGAGTTATTTTTAATTATAAGAATTAAAAATGTTACTCATAAATAAACATGTGAAGTTTCTCTGCAGAGCACATCACACCATTAGTGTGGGGCAGTGTGAGGTCTTACGGTAGCTAGGATCATAATCTTGATCTTAAAATAGAAGAGGTGTTATATCTCTGGTAAAAGACATCCATGTTTTCCTCTAGTCTATTCATATTCTCAAAGCTTGAAGAGATTTCTCAAGTGCAAAAAAGTTGCTCAGAAAAATTAAAGACAATAAAAGTTTAAAATTAACAATTAATTCCTCAATAATAGAGCCCCAACGAAAATATCACTTGGTTTGAAAATAATTTATAATTATTAGACTAAGCCCAGTGCAGACTTTGCTTTTCTGGCAACCTTCTTGAATGCACTCTTGACCTCCTTGTTCCTCAGGCTGTAGACAACAGGGTTCAGCATGGGGATGACCATGGTGTAGAACACGGACGCCATTTTGTCTGTGTCCATGGAGTGACTGGAGCTGGGCTGCAGGTACATGAAGATGATCGTCCCATAGAAGATGGAAACAGTGGTGAGATGGGAGGCACAGGTGGAGAAGGCCTTCTTCCGTCCCTCAGTTGAGCTCATTCTCAGGACAGTAACAAAAATAAATAGGTAAGAGTTCAAGATAACAAAGAGAGTGAAAAAAACATTGTAGGCTGCCATCACGAAGAGCACCATCTCATTTGCGTAGACATCAGAGCAAGAAAGCGCCAGCAGTGGGGGAATGTCACAGAAAAAGTGATTAACCACGTTGGAATGGCAGAAGGAGAGGTGGAAAGTGAAAGCCACGTGGAGGGAAGATTGCAGGAGTCCACTGGCATAGGAGCCAGAGATGAGTAGCACACACATCGCAGTTGTCATGGTGGACGTGTAGTGCAGGGGTCTGCACACTGCAGCATAGCGGTCATAGGCCATGGAGGCCAGCAGGAAACTTTCAGCAGTGGCAAAAGCTGCAAAGAAGAACATCTGAGCAGCGCACGCCTTGTAAGATATGATCTTATCTCCTGTGAGAAGCCCCGCCAAGACCTTGGGAGAGACAGCTGAGGCATAAACACAGTCTACCAGGGAGAGGTTGCAGAGGAGAAAGTACATGGGCATGTGGAGTCGGGAGTCCAGTACAATCAACACGACCAGCCCAAGGTTGCCAACCAGAGTGATGAAGTAAATGACAGTGAAGATGATAAACAAAGGGACCTGCAGCTCCAGGGCATCTGTTAAACCTACAAGAATAAATTCAGTCACCTCTGAAATATTCTCCATCAATGTCATCTGGGAATTATTAGGAAAGGCACCTACAAGAAGAGAAAAATAATTATTCTAGTTGTACACTGTGAGATCTGAAGGGTAAATGAGAATTCTTCGTCATATGAGACATGATCGAAAAATATGGTGATGTTTAAATTAAGAAATTTATTACAGTAAAAGACACATTATCGTCACCCCCGGCCCTGCCAATACCATATACTCAACCTGGCTTCACCCACACTCATCCCATCGTTCTGGCCCCTTCTGAAGCAGTTCTGGAGTCCTCTTTCATGAAGATCTTTAGCTGCACTGATGTGGCTGCCATGATGTCCTGAATTAATTCAAAATGTGTACCTTCTATAGTCATATTGACTTTGGGGAAGAGCCAGAATTTGCTTGGTGCCAGATCCAGTGAATCAGGTGGACGAGGACACCCTGTAATAACTGTACAAGCCTGCCTTTCTGTCGGGTGGCGCTTGGCAGCAGCTTTCACTGGGTTTTTGATCATCCCTCATAAAGAGACTCAGAGCAGAGGGCTTCTAGAACTGCTTCAGAAAGGGGCAAGAATAACGGGATAAGCTTTTTCAAAATGAGGGGGAGTGTGTTGAGGGGAATAAATGGTAATGTGCTTTTCCCCATAATTTAAAAGAAATTTAAACACTGCATATTTTGATCACCCCTCGTATGGTGTTAGCTTCCGGTCCAGTGCAGGAGTTGGGAATAAACTGGCCCGGCTGCTGGCTGGGGAGGCTCAGTGGGTTTTTCCTGTGAAACTGGTGCAGACCGGCAGTCAGAGCTCTTCGCTGACTCTGGCTGCCACAGATGGTCTACGCGATGATGCCGGGGCTCATTTCAGCTTGTCTGGAGTGTGCTATTCTTTATTAACTAAACCACACGGGACTTCTTTCATCACTTGCAGTATCTTAGAGGCTGTCTTGCCTGAAACATATATAGAAAGATGAACCAGCAGAAACACAGCGCAGGAGACCTGAGATACTGACTAAATCCTGTCAAACGCAGTTCCTGTCTCTGACAAACCCCTCACCAACTTGTTCTTAATAGGTGAAGATATATAGTGATTTGGGGCACCGCTCTAGGGACTTTTATGAGGGCCCTTAATTGAATGCCTTCCTTTACACATCGGTTGCTATTGGCAACTGCATCATCTATGAGACAAGTTCTCAGGGATGTTGTGGCATCTTTCAGTACCTTGAAAATTAAGGAAGAGGTTTTGGAAAGGTGAAGCAGAACTTTAGTTGTTGTCTTTTCATGTCACAGTCTTTACTTTCCACACAGGCTGATGTTTTCCATTTCCTTCCACCACCCATATCTTATTTGTGGGGGGTGGGGCATGGAGAATTGAGAAAAGTGGAAGGATTATGTTAGCGCTCCACTGGAGACCCCATGGCTTCAGCCAGACCACACACCTCCTGCCATATTTTATAGCGCCCCTGCTTGTCGTCACCTCCAGTGGTGCCTCAGCTGTGTTGCTATGGTTACAGAATGAGAGGGTCCCTTCAAAGAAAGAAATATTGCTGACTCTGGAATCTTGAATTGCACACAGTTCCTCCGGGCTCACAGTCCTTCATATTCAAGGAAGGAGATGACTCAGCCCTTGTCTTTAAGGACAGCCAAGGTGGAAATCATTCCTTCACAGAGATAGTGAATTCTAATGTTCTTTTAGAACCATAAAGGATACGAGTATTTTAAAATCAAGCAATCAGCAATGTTAATTGCCATAGTTTATCTCATGTCTTGATGGAGACAACAGAACATTCAGCCAACAATGTTGAATGTTCCGATTTTGATGTTTCTAAAGAGATTAGCCTAATAGTTGCAATGGTCAAGCAGAGGCTGAAAGTGCTACAGCCCTTGAAATTTAAGAAGGGAGCTATCGTCCGCCCAGTGCCGTTCTTACAGCACACTCTGAGTACAAGATAGGAGTGTGGTTTCCCTTTTGAGCAGAACCATCGCCCTGTTCTTTTCCACAGGCATCTGATGGTAATGAGGACAGAAGTCAGCATGCCGTAGAGCAGTGCGTAGATTGGAAGAAGCAGTGAACTCCAAGTGAGGAGACGACCAGTAATGGTGTGCCTGTTCCTGGGCTTTCTTTCTTATTCGTAAAATAAAAGTTGTTGAATGTTGCATTACTCCTTACAGTTCTCACTGGCCATGATTGTATGTCTGCAAAATACTCACTTTTGTCCTAGGAACTGACAAAGCAAAGTGGGAGGGAGGATGGAAATTGTGTCCAGACTGTCAGCCCCACGTCCACATCCAGGAACGCCTCATGCTGGAGAACCTCTTTCCTCAGCCACAGAGCTCTACTCTGTGTGGCAGGCTCTGAGCTTGTGCTTTGCACAAATCAAGGCAGAGGCAGTCTTCCCGCAGAGTCTCAGGAGAGACAACACCCCCTGAGCAGAAGTCTCTGGAGGCTCCTGATCCTCCATTGACCTTCACAGCCTGACCTTGGCTGCAGACAGCGGAGGACAAAGTTTGCACTTTGGCTACGAGCACGGGGGTTAGGAGTATAAAGGAAGAACCTCCCAGCACCATCAGATCAGCTGCCCAGCAGCCCAGTTAGGCAACAAAGTGCAAGGCTCACTATAGTCTCTGGTTTCGGTGATGGCAGGACCTCATACACATTTTCTCACATCTAGCTTTTCCTTAAAGGTCTGGAGATCTCCCCAGGACCATTTTTTCTTTCTTTCCTTCACTTTTTCTAAACAAAATGCCCATTTCACTCACACTACAAAGCTGGTCTTGGGATGCTTTTTTTCTCCTACTTAAAAAGATTACCAACACATAGTGGCATACAGTGTGATTTTCCACACATGTATACACATTGTACAAATCAGGGTAATTAACATTCCTCTCCTCTTAACATTTATCACTTTTTTTGTTGTCGTAAGGGTGTTTGAAAAATCCTCTGCCATAGTTATTTAAAATGTGCATTGCGTTATCTGGGGCTGTAATCATCCTACTGTGCAATAGTACGGCAGTGAGATAGTGGAGTAATTTCTTTCTTATTTTTAAAATTAAGACAATGGGTTCATTTTTCTTTCTCTATATTTTTCACCTTTGACCCAAAGCCCAGAGTACAATCACTTATCTTTTATAATGCAGCCAAGGTAGTGCAAGTTTGAACTGCAATGTTATGTGGCTTTTCTGTTTTGGTATGATATATAGATATGTATTAATATATATCTATATATCAATCATTTCTTTTACATGATATATAATAAATGTCATTAATAATATTTATAATAGTTTGGAGCCATTGAATAATCTAATTCCAAAACTTTTTATTACCACAAACAGAAACCCTGCAAGCATTAAAGAAAACCTCTCCTTTTGATTCCTAGCGACCTGAAGTAATTTCTATCCTAATTTCTGTCTCCATGAGTCTTTGTATTCTAGAGATTTCATATTAGTGAAATCATTATAGCTGCTCTTTTGGGTTCGGCTTATATCTCTCAACATAATGCTTCCAGGTTGATTCCTGTTGTAAGGTACATCAGACTTGACTCTTTTTCCATGATTGAATGATATTCTCTTCCACAGATACACCATATCACATTTATCCACTCATCTCCCGATGAATAGTTGGGCTGTGTCCACCTTTACCCTGTTATGATTACTGTTACCAGGAACATTGTGGTTTCCACAATGCTAGTCTTATTTATGAGATGTGATTAAAAATATGGTGAAAGGTTAAATTATTTTAAAAATTATTACAGTAAAAGACACGTTGTCATGAATCCCCCTCAAAATTCTCTCCCTCGGTTTGAACACACTTATCCCACCCTGCAGTTCTTTTTCCTGAGCCTCCTTAGTTGCACTGTCAAGGTTGCCTCAACGTCCTGAGTGGATTAAAAATTTACCTTGCATGGTCATTTTGAGCTTGAGGAAGAGCCAGACGCACATGGTACCAGATGAGGTACGGATGGTGGTGAGGACACACATCACGTCTGTATGATCCTGCCTTTTGCCAGCATCATTCCCCGCATGAAGACACTCAAGGAAAAGGACTCCCAGAATTACTCCCAGAAGTGGCCAGAATGATGGGAAAATATGTTCTAAGCAAAGAGAGATTTTTAAGAAGGATTAATAGCAATATTTCTTTTACTGTAATAACTTTTTTCCTGTAATAAAAATTTTGATTTAAACATTCACTGTATATGCTTTTCCTCCCTGTATAGTCCCTCCAACAGTATATGAAAGTTCCAAGCTTTTTATTTTTTCAGTTTTAATTTTTTTATTAGTCCTTGTTTGCAGTATATAATGAGTACATTGCTCCTGGGGAGCTGGTGGACGGACGTCATGCATCTTTACCCTTCCTCCCTCCCTTGCTCCCGCCCCCTCTGTCTTCTGGTCCTCTTACCCCTTGCAAAAGATCTACCTCTTTTTTCCTAGTATCTCTCTTCTATTTTGCGCTCTGTTTGTATTTTGGATTTCTGGTGTAAAAGAAACCATGCAATATTGAAGCTTGCGTGTCTGATTTATTTCACTTAATGTTATGGTCTCAAGATGCATTCATTTTCCTACTAAAGACTCAGGCTTATCCTTCCTTATGGCAAAGTAGTACTCCACTGTACACAAGTACCACACTTTCTTTATTCTCTCATCTGTCCATGGACATATAGGAATTTCCCGAGACTTAACGATTGAGGGTCATGTTGCTGTAAACACGGGCATGCACGTGTCATTGTAATATGGTGTTCTTAAAGAACCTCTTTTGGGAAGATGCCTAGAAAAGGAATAACTGGGTCAAATGGAGTTTCTCATTTTAGTTCTTTCAAGAATCTTTATGCTAGCTTCCATAGTGGCTTTATTAGTTTACATTCCCACCAACAGTGTAGAAGTGTTCCTTTTCCCCTGAAGTCCCTCCAACATTTATCACTATTTGATTTCTTGATGATGATCATCTCAGTATTGGGTAACACTGAATCTCAGTGTTGCTTTAATTTGAATTTCTCTAATGGCCAGTGATGTTGGTCATTTCTTCATTTATTTATTGGGCATTTACACTTCTGTGAAGCATCTGTTCATTTTTCTTGCTCATTTTTGATTGGATCTTTTACTTTGGGGGATATAATTTGAGTTCTAATTTTAGTGTTTAAGAGAATCTCGAAAATGTTTGTACTAGTTTACTTTCCTATCAACAGTGTAGAAGGGTGCCAGCTTCTTTAAATCCTTGCTATTTTTATTTTAAATTATATCCATCCTATTTGTGCAATGGTAGCTCATTGCAGTTTTAACATGAAATCCCATTGTAGCTTGATATGAATCATTGTGTTCATTGGTCCTTTGTATATATTTGTGACATATTAAGTACTAACATTTAAAAAATATGTATCACATCAAGTAGGATTTCTTTAAAAGATACAAGGATGATTCAATGTATAAAAATAAACCAATAAAATAAAGCATTTAAATAGAATCAAGGGGGAAAATCCACATATGATCATCTCTTTGATCTGGACAGAGCATTTGGCAAAATTTTACATGCTTTTGTGACTACAAAGGAAAAGACTTCTGGGTGTGGGGATGCACACCTGTAATCTAAGCAGTTGGGAGGCTGAAGCAGGAGAATTGCCATGAGTTTGATGCCAGCTTAAACTACATAGTGCGTTCAAGGCCAGCCTGCACTACACAGTGAGACCAATCTCAAAACAAAAACAGTAATAAAGTGAAAAAATAAAGGAAAAGAAAGACCTCTCAGAATAGAAATAAAGTAAACTTTTCTCAACATTATAAAAGGCATTTATGGAAAACTTTACCACATTAAAAATTGAAAGGTTGAAATATTTACCTTTAACATAAACTACAAAAAAAGGATATCATTTTCCCTATGTAGTAGGAATTTAATTGCAAATTCTGTCTGGAGAAGATAAAGAAAAGAAATGAAAGATGTCTAAACTGGAAAAGAAAAGCTCAACTACACTTATTTACAGATGACATGATCATACCTATACCAAGCCCTAAAAATGCACATAGTTTTGGAGAAAATACACAAAATCAATAGAGTTACAGTATATAAAATCAACAAATAGAAAGGAGCAATAAAAATCCCAATAATAATTCCATTTACAACAATACACATGGATAAAATACTCATGGATAAATTTCACCAAGTTCATGTAAAATTTGTGCATTGATACTACAACATATTGCTAAAATCAAGAAGAATCAATCCATTTGGGATGTTAAAACAAGGTATCAGAGACTTGGTAATTTGTAAAAATTGAAATGTATTCCTCACAAGTCTGGAAACTGGGGAGCCCAAGATCAAGATGCCAGCAGCTTTAGTCTCTGGTGATGGCCTCATAGATGGCATCATATAGTTTTCCTTATATGGCAAAAGGGTGGAAATTCAGAAAAGGCCTAATCTCATTCTTACTAGCCTTTTTTCTTTGTTTATTAGTTTTTCTTTTTCTATTTTTTTCTACTAACCTTTTCATAAGTAATTAA